ATGCAAGCTCCAGGAAAAGAGATTCCACCTCAACATTAGGAGGAACTAATTTTCTGACAGTAAGGGCTGTTTGACAGTGGAACACATTCCCTCATAGAGGCTGGATGGCCATCTGTTGGGGATGCTTTGATTGGGAGTTCCTGCATGACAGGGGGTTGGACTGGATGGCCCTTGTGGTCTCTTCCAACTCTATGATTCTATGATTCTACTTTTAAACTATAGCTTCCAGAATCATGATCTGAATAATTGTTATTATTGTTGTGTGCCCTCAAATCAATTCTGACTTATGACAACTCTAAGGTGAACCTATCACAGGGTTTTCTTGACAAAATTTGTTCAGAAGAGGTTTGCCATTGCCGTCCCTTGAATCTGAGAACATGTGATTTTCCCAAGGTCATCCAGTGAGTTTCATGGCCAAGTGGGGAATCGAACCCTGGTCTCCAGAGTCCCAGTCCAACCCTCAAACCAATATGCTACACTGGCTGTGGATACTGGAAGTTATAGTCCATTTCCCAAGTTATGGGAATACTTACCTTAGGAAGATACCACATACTACTCCCCCTGCCCCAGTTCTCACAATTAGGATGGAATCCCAGGGGTAAAATGTACAATGTGGGGGATAGCAGCAGCCATGATCACACAGCATTTGACCACTGCTGAGTCATACTGACTCATGCTGTGTCATAGGATGTGACATGATGGAGATGGTCACCTGGTGCTGGAAAGCACACAAAACTGCTGCAAAACTGCAGAGTCTCTCAGATGAGTGACAGGTGTCCAGCAGGAAGAGGCAGGGCCAGAAGGCCATGTGAAGCCATGGCTATATAAGGCAGAAGCCTCTGGACACACATATGGGTGGTGGAGTCATAGTAGGTTGCTGGAGAGTCACGTTGGATGATTGCTGTAAGTAGCCTTGTACATAGAGGAACTAAGATTAAAGCCTCATCTGAGAGACATCTGTCTGTGGAGTCTCTTTACTCTGTCTGGAAGAGGAGAGGTGCTTCTCCAGCTGACACGCTACTGCCTGCATCTGAGAAGATCGTGATCCTGGTGCTGCACATCTATGTGGATCTTCACGTGCTGCATAACCACACTAACAATTAGCTCTGGACACCCATGTTAACAATCATGATAATGTTTCCCCACATGCATACCATCCTTCCTCTTATAGGCATCACCTCTGGCGGGAGAGGTTTGAATGCACTTGACTGTTGGCATCTAACAAATGTCTCTTTTGCTATGAACACTCTGTATTTGAATATTACTGTGTTGTACAGGTTCAAAACATAGCAAAAATTGCAGCAGTAAAGATTCTCACAGGATTCTCAAACCCACCCCCCCTCCACAGAGGACATCATTTCCCTACAGGAGACTATTGTGTGAGAGACACAGCTCCACCTTGCTTATGTGGCTAGGCCAATACCACCTGTTAAACATGAACCAAGCAAACCAGATTTCTGATGCCAGCTGCTTAGAAAAGTAGTAGTGATGCCTGTCTGTAACTTTCCTTTGGCACATTCCACATTGCCACAACACTCAAACTTTTCTTTTCCTATTCCTGATTTGCATTCTTTACATGGACCTGCTCAACCTGTTACAGATGCTAACTAATTGCTTTTTGCACCTTCAGGCAATGAAACATCTGCAAGATGCTTCTAACTTTTCCTGGGAATTTTTCTTTCCAAGCAGCCACATTACTCATGGCTTTCCTCTTTTATAGAACAGCGAGATGTACAGAGAAAAAGCTGTCAGGCTTTGGATAGCCAACAGGAGCAGTAAACCACTTGAATTTCAGCTGGAGCCAAGGGGATGGGGCAAAATAACTTCATAACAGTCAAACCCTGCAAATTAGGAACTAGGGAATCTGTGAATAAGCAGTGGAATTTCCAAGATTTCTAAAAAGGAGGAAGATGGTGTGTCAAAACTGGCAAATACCAGTATTTCCAAACCAGAGGCACCCCCTCATTTTTTTTTTTTTTGCAACAAATCACTTCATGTTGTCAATGAATATTTTAAGAAGCTAGCAGCAAGTTGGCTAGTGGGGGTATGAGTGGGGTCAGATTAGGCTTCCATTCAGCAAAGCTATAATGCACCAAAATGGATCGTGCAAAACTTGGATGCTAATTCACCAAATCTTCAACATGGCTGCAGAAACACACTTCTCATTTAGTGAAGACATTTCTTCATTTTCTATTGAAGGAAGGAAAAAAAATCTTTAGAAGCAATAGGGCTTCCAGACAGACAGCCCCTAGTGCTGCCAATCAAAGGATACTGTACAGTTTTCTCTTTCCTGCCTTAATTAATTTTTTTAATGGAAGAGTGGGGAAAAGGGGCAGAAAAAGTGATGGAAAAATATGGTAAGTCAATGAATGAACTCCAGGTAAAATTCCATGATTAAACAGAACTTATCCTGGTAGCTGGAGGATTTGGGAAGTTCTGGGCTAAAAACTAACTTTTCCAAACTCTGTGATGAAGCAGTGTAATTACACAATAAAAAATATAGCAGGAAACATCTTCTGTGTTCTCTCTCTCCACCACAGGAGAGAATGGCCCAAATGCAATTGCTATACTGAACCAGAGTAGAACCACTGAGTCAATGGGATTTACATAAGTGAAACTATACCATTGAAATCAGACAGTCAGTGTGGTGTAGTGGCCTCAGTGTTGGATTATAACTCTGGGAGAGCAGGGTTCAAATTCCCAGTCACCCAGGAAAACCCACTGACTGACCTTGAACAAGTCATATTTTTTTGGCTTTACAGGAAGGGAATGGGAAACCCCATCTGAAGAAATCTTTGCCAGGAAAGCCATAGGATAGGGTCACTATAAGTCAGAGTCAATTTGAAGGCCCATAATAACAACGATAGCAACAACAGCAACAAATTGATTCAATGTATCTATGCTAGTTGGGCTTAACCAATAGGATTTTGGTCAGTTGTACTCCTGGTTTGAAAAGAATACATAGCATATTGTTATTTGCTCCTCTCCAACAAAGCTGTCTCATTGCCACCTTCTCTGCTTGGTCTAGTTTCATTTATATCAATGCAATGATATCTTGCTTTCTCAACAAGAAATTCAAGGAAGTGTACTGGGATGCATAAAACCACCAGGCTTAATTTTGTTCTCATTCTCTTTTATCCATTGTCAGATCTATTGTGCCTGGATTTCATAATATACTGTATTATATATCTACATTTTAAAAAGGTAAAGGTTGTCAAGCCATGCCTGACTGTAGGGAGCTGTGCTCCCCATTACAAAGCCAAAGAGCTAGCATTGTCAAAAACGACTCTGTGATCATGTGGCCAGCATGACTGAACAGAACACTGTTACCTTCCCACTGAAGTGGTACCTATTTATCTACTTGTACTTTTACATGCTTTTGAACCGCTAGGTTGGCAGAAGATGGGACTAGTGACAGGAGCTCACTTTGTCATGTGGTGCTTGGGTCTCGAACTGTCAACCTTGTGATCATCAGAAACTGTACAAAACTGGAACCTATTCATGCACATTTTTTAAAAATATATAGGGTTTTCTTGTATTTACACTTTTTCAAATGCATGCACCTTTGTGTGTATTTCCCCCCAAAATGTTTTCAAATGAAATAAGCAATCTTGTGCAATTTCCCACACTATATGCATTTTGTATGGCCCTTTTCAAATGTGGATATTCTGGGGTGTGGACAGATTTTGTAAGTGAACATATTTTTGTATGGTTTCTTCTACATTGGCAAACTGCATAGCAAACTTGGTCACAGTTTGGATTTTGGCATCTGTGTTCTGATTTATGTTCAGGACTGGGAAGTAAAAATGCTATAAATTCATATTGAAATGTGAATTGATTGAATTTCTCATCTGTCCCTAATCCTTTCTGCTGTTTCCATTTTACCCTTATAACATCCTGAGAGCTGAGTGAGCCTGAAAATTTGTTACTCATCAACTGTCACTTATATAAGTGCAAAGTTGAATCCAAGTTTCCCCAGTCATGGCTGGACATTCACACAGGCCAGAATATCATATTAGTTGATGCTGGGCCCTGGTTAACACCATATTAATGCTGCCAGATTACCCCATCACATATGCATATATGTGCATGCACCCACACAGAGTTGCCTAGAAAGGTCCACAGCCAGATATAATTACTTAAGGGAAAAAACTGTTTTTTGCTTAGACAACATCTTCCTCATATTCATAGTGAGAGTATGGCTTCTATTCCACATACTAAATAATAAACCAAACCCTCTGAATGAGGCTCATAATGTCTCATGAAGACCATGATTCTGTTTACACTGTAAGCAAACTAAGCCCTTGTTTGAACTGTGTAAAAGGAGAATTTTAACAACGCACATGGAGCCTATGCTTTGTACTTTCTGCTATCAATTTTTGATATGGTAAATCTAGCAAATTATATAAAATCTACTGTCAATGATACATGCTGTATCATTTTTCTTGGTATTTGGGATTTAAGTAGAATAAAGACTAGGTCATTTCATATTTATTTTTAATGACTGAAATAGTAGTAGGCCTTTCAATGGCAAATAGCTTGACTGAGAACCCAGGGAATTTCACATGCAACAGAAACAGTTGAGCTCCAATTCCTATATCTTGTTTGAAGCTAGAAAATATTATGTTTTGGGGACCACAAGTGCAAGAATCCTCCAGTCAGCATGTCATGGTGACTTGCAATCCAAAAGTAATTTTTTTCACGATCTGCTCTTCTTGATGCTACCTGGGATATTTGCCTTGGTTTGCTGGCCTAAATGTATCACTAGATTAAGTGGTTAGATTTTTCTGATGGATTTCTAGTGCTCAATCCATAGAGCCTTCAAGGAAATTACAGTATCCATAGAAGACACTGTTCATCAAGTAACCAATATTTCTCATTCTAGTGCTTCCTGTCCAGGCATGTAGACATCTGTAAGATGCTACACAGGTACAAACATTCAGTCCCTATGTGTTCACCTAAATTACCTATGAGAGGGGCTGGAAAATCATGAGCAAAGAGAAGGATGTAGAAGAGGTGATAAAGTTGCAAGCAGGAAACAGTGAGAAATGGAAATAACTGGAAAATTTAGAACAAGCAGATGTCTTTTCCCCAGCATTAACTTGCTGACCTGTTAGCCTGAGGGAACATCTATTCAGCAATCACTCAGACATGCTTACGCAGGGTGCTGAGGACATTGACCACCAAATTGTTCTGGAGGACCTACAGATGCCTAGAGAAGTGTTCTTTCTAGGTGTTGAGCATTACTTCTGGTGGACATCAACCACAGAGTCACTTTGGAGGACTAGAGATTACGAGACAGAACATATTAATCAAATCTGTCAATAATCAAATCCACAAAAGTCAAAGGTGCAGATATGGAGGGCTGACTGCACTCCCTATTGAGCATATTTACAATAGGTTTTTTTGAGAAACTGAAACTTAAAATACATTTGAATTTTAAAAATTCTCAAAAGCACTTTCTTTCTTATCATTTTCTGTAG